GGTTGAGGGTCTTCTTCTTGGTCTGCGACTTGTAGACCTTCTGACCGTTGAGCGAGAAGACGGCGAATGGATCCGACTTGCCTAGAGGGAATTCAGTATGATCATCGTGACCGTATCTTGTAAGCGCACGTACCGCCTCGGTCCATTGCATGGATGTCGTCTCCTGAAATGAGGTCCACACGCAACATTCCTTGGTCTGTCAAGAAGGATTAAAAATAAACACCGTTACACAAAGCAGCTCCACTTACTGTTGATACTTTCCCTTGCTTCCAATGTCACGGGTACAGGAAGGAAGCGAGACTCGATGACAACAGACGAATTCCTGTCCTCATTGCCATCACGGTCTTGGAGAGTGAAAGTAGTAGGACCATCCTGCACAACATTATTCAGTATGTTAGACGACCACAAAGTGCTTGAAAGAAACCCTACCAATGATTGTGACAAGAACACCTTCGATTCACCCTTCCATTCCCCAATAATCTCATCTTTGTCACCTTCGTCTGCAATATTCAAACGGAATCTGATACGGCTGAAGTCCATCTCTTTAATGAAACCTTCACCGATATATTCCCATTCGGCGGTAGTACTACGGGCCTTCGTAGTACTGAAAGCTGGCCAATAGCCGTCATCCAAAAGCATTTCAAGTCGAGCTTTCTTCGACAAACGTCCAGAAAGCACGTTGCAGATAATGACGCCCGAATCTAAAATTGCATGACAGATGTCAACAAGGAGAAACACACGAAAGAAATGAGGCCGTACTGTAGTCGTCCAAAATCTGTTCACTTGAGAGGTCGAGACCAAATTCTTCCTTTTCACCAGCAAGTGTCGGACTAGTGGGACTCAACACAGTCGGGCTACCTATACCCATACCATTCGAAGTAGGGCTCGTCGGGCTTGCAAGATTGGTATCAAGGGAGATGCCAGTCTTGGTAGTGTCCACCGAGATATTCGTCCTATGGGTTCGGTGACCGTGCTCCAAGGGTCGACTTGTGGTGATAACATTAGGAACAGCTTGGAACTCCTCGTCAGAAGAAGAGAAGGAAGCATCATCAGAAACAACGGTGCCGGCATCAGTATTGTCAGAAGAAACGGTATTCCGTTTGAGTTCGTTCAGACCAGTTTGGAATTTGATACCCTTGACAGGAATAGCAGGAATGAATTCAGCCTCATAGACAAGTTGACCCTTGAAGTTGCCCTTGTCAAGTTTGATGCTATCTTCCTTCGTGTGTTTACCGAGTGATTTGTAGGGCTTCTCCTTGGCCTCCTCGCCCTCAGCTTGCGCAGCAATGTCAGCGATCTTCAATTCACAATAACCCAACGAGCGATCCTATATACGGACAAATAGATTAGCCGAGGAGATTGTGAACTATGGAGCGCGAGAGGTCACAATACCTTAGTGAGATGCTGATAATCCATCACCTCGAGGAGCATGGTCTAAACATTCATGGAAACAGCATCCGTCAAACAAAGTTCAGTCAACGAAGCTTGAGCAGATCCACGAACCTCTTTGAGGGAGTGAACTATAACATAAGATGTTCATTTCAGCAAAAGGACGCACGGTATGAGATCATCTGCACTCACCTGGAATATATATAATCTGGTCCCATACTGGGTTGAGATCTGTTTGAATCCCTCACTTTAGCACGCGCCCCAATATAGTTTAGCGCCGTACTCACTGTTATTTACCACCTCAGTTCGTCCAGCCACGATGTTATTGATTAGCACGCGCACATATGGATCGCTCTGTCAAAGTGCCGTAAAGGTAAGCGTCTCATGGGGTATAAAGGGCGCAAGGGTTAGTGAAGCAGATGCTTACCTTTCCGCCCAGCGTCGCCTCAACGTTCCTAGGTAACGATGGCATTAGTCTGTGAGTGAAATTGACAATGAATCAAATTCGATGACGTACTTCACATCAGCAGCCTTCTGCAGCCAGAGTCGCACAACTCCAATAGGTGGTGTGTACTGGTCGACGCCATGAAGACTGCCAGCCATGTTCAATGGTTTCCATTCGGCACTGAGACGCAGTCGACCACTGATACATCCATCCAGTTTCCACCAGTCTTTCCCAACTTCTTTCTTAGACTCCAACAGGTCATCAAGCCGCACGCGCATATAGCCTACCACAGGATCCTTCAAGAAGTCTCGGTCATCAATAACCTTGATGGTAATGACAGATGAGTGCTTGTCTGAGCACAAGAACTCTGTCGAGGATTCCCAAACAGGATTGAGGGTATGTTTGTGTCGAGGTGTGGAGTGAATGGGCTTGGATCCCGCAAGAATCACTTGGGCAAAGGGATTGAGATCATCGGAAGTCGACTTGGACTTGTCAAGATCTTTTGCTTGATGCAAGGTGAGTCGCACAATACCAACAGCTAACGGACAAAGAACGGTGAGTATGTGCCGAATGTGAAGTGTCGTCGCGACTTACAAGTATCCGGTAATTCCTCAATACCGCTTTGATCGACTTGAGGCTTAAGTACTGGGAAGAAGTTGAGATCAAATCGGAGCAACCCCTTGTCCTTTCCATCTCGTACGATTGACTTCTCAAGGCCTTCTTGAGTAGCATCATCTTGTAGCTCCTGCATGTTGAAGACAACTTCACCGAGTTCCGTGTTCTTACGATGATCATTGTAGTCGAATACGGTAAGTACCAAGGATTCAGTCAAGGAATTGACAAGCAGGAACTTTGTCTCATTCCAGGTAGGGTTAATCCTGTCAAACCGTCATCAGTCTGGATGGGAAGAGATGGCACAAACATGATACCTACGTGCTATGCCTGTACTTTGTCTTGGCTAGTTCGGCCCGTTTGTTGATGCTCATGCTAACGAATGGATCCGGGGTCATTCCTCCCATCTTGCTTGCCTTTAGATCCCGAGCGGAGCGAACAGTAACTTGCAGGACACCAATGGCAGAATCCAAAGGCTCTCCGGACAGCATCTGTTCCAAGTTCAGTGTAAACACATTGGGGTCGTACATCATCGGACCAAGGATGCTATGAACCATGTCTCGAATGAATGCCGAGAGACCAGGGACCTAGAAACAATTATCAATCTCATGAAACACCAGCTATTGACAAGCATCATACTCACAATACCGATATCAAAACCGAACGTCTCACCGCCAATGGGTTTCAAGACGTAATCGAAAACAGGCTTCTCCAGGAAAGACAAGTCGACCACTTGGATATGTGGGAAGTTCGTCATGAGCTTCATGCGAACACGCATATAGCCAGAGAAGCTCATGTCCTCGATAAGGATAGGCATAGACACTGATGCTACACCCTTACCAACCCGGATGTTCAACACAATTTTGGGATTGACGACGGCCTCCGCTTGCTTCTTGGTAAGATTTGACGTGTCATTCGGGGCGAACGAAACCTTCCAGTCCATCATCACAATGTCATCCTCCGTTCGAATCCAGGTTTTCACTCGGTCAATTCGGATCGCCTTTGTTCCGAGGGTGAAAGTAGTCATACGCATGGAATCCAGGAACGGAGGACAGTTGGTGCTCAAAACTTGCTCCACCGTAGCGATGACGGTTTTAGAGAGAACAGGTTCGTAGATAAGCCAGAACCTATCCAAGAAATGATTCATCCAATCAGCCGTTTCGTGTTCGTCCATGAGACGATTCTTCATGAGTTCACGCTGAATATCGTTCCTCGCGGCAGTCTGCACGCGTCGTATCGAGGTGCTGTAGTACGTGCTGCTGAATGCCAGTACGATGAATAGCCATCCCCATCCAAACCCAAACCGTGTCAGGAAGTGAGTTACGACAACAGTCTATTGCCAATAACTTGCATGTTAGGCCAAGAAAAGATGGAATGATGTCAGTACGCACGAAGACAATGATGGCCGCATTATGGTACCAGTCACCGTAGTACTGTTCGCTGATGAATGTGTCTAGAATGGAGGCATCCTTGGCTTCGTTCTCGTTGACAGGTAAGTCAATCCCCGAGACAGCTCGCCATCCAACTTTGTACCAGTCGGGGATCTGAGGTGCGGGCGCTGAAGGTATGGCACCCGGAAACTGCGGTTCGTGCTGTTCTGGCCGTGGTTGTGAATCATCGGCAATTTGTTTGTCGACATCTTCAATAGTGATGGTGGGTACTACATGAGCAGTACCAGTGTCGATGGCTACCTCTGCCAAGCCGTTAGCAAGCGGGGGTCATACGAGTGAGAGTAGACATACCTCTGCCTCCAGATGCGTCCCCATTCTGCGTTATGCTCTTCAGCTGGTCTTCATTCTTGGCTGCACTCGCGGCCTTCTGCTGGGGTGTTGACTCCGCATTGAAGGTGTGAACCGCGACACGGTTCTTTGCTGCGTCTTGCTGAACGATGTCATTGACTTGGGCTTGAGCGTTGAGTGTGATATTGTCGTTGGTGTCCGCCATTGCCAGTGAAGGCGAGAAGAATGTTGAGGATAAAGGAGGGAATTAGGGAACGATATGTAAAAGTGACAAATGAAGGTGGCGTTGTATGCTGCAGGCTTAAGTTGGCAGACCCCGCACTGAAGCGAGCAAGGTCAAGCAGTTATTTAATTTCCCGTCTCCTCCGACAGACCTGATGACGTCCGAAACTAATGGGACCCCGACACACCGCCCACCCACCACTGTCCTGATTGTACCTATCATCCCGGCCATTCTCCACCCACCACCACCAAAACATACACGGCCGGCGATGCATATGGAAACCAGTGCAACACCGCACATACAGTGCACCCTACACGCCCCGGACCAAGTCCGCAGCAGCTCCAGTCAGTGCCAGAGGTCACACTCAGTACAGTTCGTAGCTCTGACGTAGTTTGTTAACAACAAAACTCGTGTGAGCAAGCCTTTGCACCTATTCATAGAACCTACTGCTGTTGCTATATAGTAAAAATAACATACGGTATGTTCTCCATTGCATCGTCTAAATATACCAAACTGACAATCATTCCAAAGTTTCCTTTCCAACTAATTTTGACATTGCGAATGGAAAAAACCAATCACGATTTTGACACGAAGGCGCTACCAGGGTTCGAACCTGGGTTTCGGGAAGATAAGATCAGAATCCCGAGTGATAACCACTACACTATAGCGCCGTGTCGGTCATCAATGTTACCTATCATCCATCGGGTAGCACATCGCTCTATCGTAGGCTCGCTCAAATTGACTTTAGAATCTGTCCGCACACTGACACTTACTCAGACACACTACTTCACTATGTTCCTGGCCATTTCTTTAAAACGGACCTGTCTAATATTCAACGAGTGCATAGACAATGATCAAGAAGGTTCACTGATCCATTTACCCGATCTGTTCAGGTTCATTAATGCGATTTGTCGTTTATTGGACTTCCGAAAACACAAACTTTCACCAGTTACATTCGCAGTGTCCATGTAACTGAACTCAGACATGCCAGGCTCTTCCAATGGCCAGACCCACCATTCCAAGCGGAAAAAATATGCCTGAGCATGCTTCAGGTACTTCGGCTTGAAAAGCCTCTTCCCAGCAGTTTGGTAGCAACTTTCATTAACCCTATTCTGACAGTGCAAAGAGACACAAGGTTGCAATTGGGGCGGCCGACAAAAACAACGGCAGAGTAGTTTGGAGCAGTTTCAAGTTTCTCCTGCCAACTTGTCTTCCCGATCTTTCCGGTTGGGCGCGTCGATCATTTCTCAGGCCATAAACCAACATCAAATCTTATCAGATAATCGCGAAGGACCGGACGATGAACGAGGATAAATCTTTAAAGATGTCTAGAGGACGGAAACACTCCAGAACCAGGAGCCGTATGTTCCTGGAAAACTTAGCGTTGGGTGTTATATAAACATGTTTTCAGATGTCTCCTGTTTTGTCGTCGAACCCCTCAGGTTCACCATCTCACTGTCGATCTTCGATAGCGCCGGCTCAAAATGACCACGGCCTCTAGCTCTTCAAGTTACAATGACCAGACGCTTAACAAACACGCCGACCCTCCTGCAGACCGTGCACCGCGTGGTTCTGAAGATGGCGACGAACTACTCTTTGCTTCAGGTGTAAAGCGCATGGAAGCCATTTCGGCTAACCTCACGTTATTCCACAGATGTGTCGTCTTCTTCGGTGCCTTCTTGATCGCGTACTGCTATGGACTTGATGGAACGGTGCGGGCTACTTACCAGTCCTACGCCACAGCTTCATATTCAGCTGCTGCCTTGCTCTCCACTATTAATGTCCTCCGAAGCGTCATTAGCGTAGTCGGTCAACCCACGGCAGCTAAAATCGCAGATGTATTTGGACGTGCAGAATTGGTTATTATCAGCATCGTTTTCTACGTCGTTGGAACGATCATCGAAGCGAATAGTACCACCGTTAACTCATACTGCGCTGGTGCTGTGCTATACCAAATCGGCTACACTATGATTATTCTTCTCATCGAAGTCATCATTGCCGATTTGACCTCATTGCGTTCACGTCTTTTCTTCTCTTTCGTGCCTGCCCTTCCCTTCGTGATCAACACCTGGGTTAGTGGCAATGTCGCTGAGGCCGTCTTGGCCGCGACTACCTGGAGATGGGGTGTTGGCATGTGGGCCATAATCTATCCCGGTACGTTGAAATGGCCAGATATATCCGAAAGTTAGATCGTTAATATTTTAAAAACTTGTAGTGTGCTGCGTTCCCCTCCTTGCTGCACTCTATCATGCACAATGGAAAGCAGAACGCGCTGGACACTTGAAGGATTATATGACCCCCTTCAAGCGTTACGGCTGGTCGCTCTTCCCGGCACTTTTCTGGCAACTCGATGTCATCGGAATCATTCTCCTCATCGCCGCATTCGCCTGTTTCTTGGTCCCTTTCACCCTTGCTGGAGGTAGTGCTTCCTTGTGGCAGGAAGCCCACATTATTGCACCCCTCGTTATTGGCTTTTTGTGCTTCCCCGTTTTTGTCTACTGGGAACTCAAAGCTAAGTACCCAATGGTACCCTTCCATGTACGTGCATCAACGAGAAGTATTTTTTGTTGTATTGCTTATGTCCCTCGATAGCTCTTGAAGGATCGTGGTGTCTGGGCAGGTTTCTGTGTTGCTTGCATGCTCAACTTCAGTAAGTTTTCTATTCTGCCCTATTTCTCGTATACTCGAATCTAACATGGCTTTAGCATGGTACATGCAGGGCGACTACCTCTACCCGGTCCTCATCGTTGCCTTCGACCAAACTGTTCTCTCTGCCACGCGTATTTCCTCCATGTACTCCTTCGCTTCCGTCCTCACGGGAACTGCTCTCGGACTAGTTGTCATCCGTGTCCGTAGACTCAAACCCTTCATCGTTTTTGGCTGTGTTCTCTTTTTGGTCGCCTTTGGACTTCTCATCAAATTCCGTGGTGGTCATTCGGATGGCCAAGTCAGCGGTGTCATCGGCGCACAGGTTCTTTTGGGAATTGGTACGATAAAATTATAAATCTCGTCCAACTATGAGTTATCTAATGAGTTTTCCTCTTGCCAGCCGGTGGTCTCTTCGCCTATCCCACTCAAGCATCCGTTCAAGCACGCACCAAGCACGAACGTCAGTATTTTCTCTCTTCATCTACCTTAATCCACAGACTAAACTGACAAACAACACACAGACGTCGCCGTCGTTACCGGACTGTACCTTGCGACCTACTCTATCGGCAGTGCTCTCGGGTCTAGCATCTCAGGTGCAATCTGGACCCAACTCATGCCTACTCAACTCACCAAAAACCTCGGTAACGCCACCTTGGCATTGGAAATCTACGCGGACCCATATACTGCTGCGGCATTATATCCCGTTGGTACTGAAATCCGAGATGGGATCTTGACTTCGTATACCTATGTTCAAAACATCCTTTGTAGTAAGTCAAATATTCGGAGCTTTTCGGATATATTTTGGTAAACTGACCATCTGGACTGCTTGTTCTTCTACAGTCACCGGTATCTGCTTGTGTGTCCCGCTGATCGCATTCTCCATTTGCTTGCGTGACCCGGTCCTTGGAACAGAGCAGAGTTTGCCCAATGCTGAGCAACAGGATCAGGACCAGGACAAGCGTTCTGGATTCTTCTCTTGGTGGGCTTAAAATAGCGATTTATTCGTGTCTGCTTGCTTGGAAATTCCTCATACAAAACTCTTCATCTTGAGGATAGAGTTATTTTCATTTACTTGACTTAGGTCATCCCAAGGGATCTAATTTTTCTTATACTCCCTAGATAATCTTCTTCGCCTTGTTTTATTAATTATAATTTAAAAGTATAGACACTCACCGCACCCCCAACTATATAAGTGAAATCGTATGGCACGTTACCTAATTCTGCGTGTTATCAGAGTGAAGGCTCAGTCCGTATCTTGCTGCAAGAATAAGTTTATATATTCACTATCATAGTTCCGCCCAACCGGAATCAGCATCGTCTCCTCCATTCAACAGGGTGAGTACGAAAACAATAACACTAGCACCAACACGCATGCCCAAGCCCCTATATAACTGACCAATACCAGTGTTTCTTAGCCAGCTCTCATCCTCATCACTTTCTACGCTCGGCTCGACCTTCCCTTCTGGCACCTTGCCCCTCGCGTTGAGACTCTTGCGTCTCCGCCTCTTAGGTTGAATGGGCAAGTCCGACCGTTCCTCTGTCAAAATATGCCAGAAGGCATCGACGATTCCATTGTACGGAGCCGGTCGCAACTCGACACAGGCCTTGATACGTTCTGCGGTCCCGCGAACTTGGACTTGCAGCCTCCGTCGTACAGTCTCGAATGGAAGGGTGACGAGAAGTCCGGCACAGCTACCGAGGAACTCTGACATCGCCCATAAGAATGGCGATGATTCCGGTGTTGGCGCCGCACCTCCGAAGGAGAGATACGATGCCACTATTCCTGGAAGGATGAATGGCACGAGAGAGCGGAGAGTGCAATCCAAGAGGGTTGGGATAAGTATATGAGGGTGAAGATATACGCCTTTGAGACCACCCTCTTCGGCAAAGATTTTCTGGAGTGCGTCAAGAGGGCCGCTATAGGTCTTGTATCGGGGATGTGATGATTGGACAATGAGACGTGTGCGGACCAAATCAAGCGGGGAAAGGATGAATCCTGTGAGGACTTGTGAGACGACAGGGAATAGGAGTGGTGGTGGTCCGAATGAGGAGGATGAGGGTATTGGGATAAATGATTCAAGAACGGATTGGACTACAGGTTGTAGCCCAAGGTATAGCGATTCAGTAACAGCAGTGGTCAATAGACCTTCAGAAAAATAATTAGTTCGACGTCATTTATCATATTTCTAGAATTTGACATACCTTTCCATAAGGATAACCACCCTTCAGGTTTAAAACGTCCCAGACGTTTCATCATACCCCATGTACCATCCGCACTCCCCAGAGGGATAACATATTCAGGAATTGTACCCTCCTCAAGCACCGACTGTCTAACAATGTATCCTTTATCGTCGGACAGCCTACGAGGTGCCGGTGAAGAATCAGGATCCGACGGGTCTGCAAAGTATGAATCATTCTCAGCGGACGATTCACCACTTTCCTAAAACAAATTGTGACATCTCAAGTGAGTAAGCTGCACGCAAAATGACGCTTGATGAATGGTACGATACCTCTTCTTCATCCTCTTCGTCTGTTATGAGCACAGCCCCTGGTGGAAGTTCTCCAGCGTCCCTAGGAACCCACTGCACTTGCAAAAGAGTCTTTCCGACATCCCAAGGAATTGACAATGCCGTCGTAGCATATTGCAATAATGCCGACGCGAAGAGACTTTGAAGCACAACTTTCACGTCAACTCCCGAGCCGTCATCGGTCAAGGACGCAGAAAGGTCTAGCAAGGGATTCGGAGCCGGTCTAGTAGACCATTGGTGTGAAGAAGCCACGGTAGAAGGACCAGGAGCAGAAGGTGTTGTTGAATTGTTCGGAGTGGTGGCTGCAAATGTCCAAGCGTTAGCCGGAGTTGCGTATAAATCTCGGAGTGACGGTGGTGGATTCATGAACGGCGCATTGGATGATTAATATGTTTGTACAGTTTGTGCTTATCGAAGGTAAGGATAGGTATTTCTTCACGTCCGGAGATGTTGAGACGAGGTGTGTTACCGCTTGTTCATAGAGACAGTGAAGG